ATTTTTTAAAATCTAGATGTAGATTATTATATTATTAATCATATTATTATTTATTTTTAATAATATCATGAGATTTTTTTTTATTACGAGATTTTATTGATTTTTGTTTATTTTTTTTTTTTAATATATTTAATATATATATATATAATCTTTTTGAATTTTTTTTTTCCTCAATTTTTTTCATAAATTATTTACAAATTTAAATTTATATTTTATTTTTACAATTTTTTTCTCACAATAGAAGTAATGTTATCTACAACAAATGTTATTGGTAATTTTTTTAAATAATAATAGTCTTTTACTACATTTCAAATAATAATTATTCATAAAAAAATTTATAGGAAATTAAAGCTTTGTAAGAAGCAAATCTAATGCTAACACTAAGACCAACACTAACACCAATACCAATACTAACGCCAACACCAATGCCAACATTAACACGTATAACAATACCATCAACCCCTATTGAAAAACTAATACAATGATATATTTCTGCTAAGAAGATTCGGGAAGTTTTTCAAATGGATAAAATGAAGTATTAAAACATTTTGGTAAAAATAAATATTATATTATTTATAATATTTATTTTTATTTTTTTATTTTTTTATTTTATATTTTTTCAAGTTTAAGATTCGTTTTTGTATGTTGTCTTTGAAAGTTGATTTCAAGATCAGCTACAAAAACTAAGACATCAGTTATAATCAAATTTCATAATATTGGTATTAATTTAGCATTTATTTCTACTGGCTTAACTAGCATATGTCAATTACTTGATATAACTATCAATAAGCCATTTAAGGATAATTTTTATAAGGAATGATATATTTGGATAGCAGAAAGTGATGCTAGAGTAACTACATCAGAAAACCTTTATTGTGCTAGGTTATTTAATGTTGTAAATAGATCAAATGTATTTAAAAAGAAATCCTAGACAAAATAATTATATGGTCTTTTAAGACTTGTAAAATTTCAATTTTAGATAAATCAGATAATAAAATAACTATAACAAAGATTCTAGTAATGATATCATTGATATTGATATTAATATCAATAGTATTAATAATGATAGATAATAATATTGATAGTTGTATTAATGATAATGATGATACTAATATCAATAAATAATTATAGTTTATAATAAAAATAAATTTTATAATACAACATATAATGATAAATAATAAATATTAATTATTTAGTTGCATTTAAACTATATAAATATTTTTTTATTATATGGGTTCAAATTCTGAGAAATTTTTGATTAAAATTAATATCTTATTATGTTTTAGTCTAAATGTAATAAAAATTAAAATGCAATTAAAATCTTAATTTAATAAAAAATTTTCAGAACTTGATTTTCTTAGATCACAACCCATATTCATTTATTTTTTATTACAGAAATTTTATGGGTTATTTATTTTCAGATCTATATTAATACTGTGGTTGCTTATTTTCAAGGGTTGTCTAGATTCAGAATGGTGTTGTAAATGTTTTCAGCAGAAATAATAAAAATCTGATTATAAAAAACTAGTATTCTTAGAAGTATTAGATATAATCAAGTTGAAAGAAAGATCTAAATAAAAAATTGTTAATAGAATAACTAATACCATATTAAACTCATATTCACTTCCTTAATTATCTGAAAAAGTTATTAATATAAAGGAGATTGAAGATTTGCAAAAGTTTATCCTAACTTCTTAAGTGAAGAATTTAGTATAACTCTAATTTGCTATTCTATGATGATATGAAAAACTTATGGTTTAAAAAAATTTCTTTATTTTTTAGCCATAAGTAAAGTTAAATTGCCTTATAATATCTGGATTTCTTATCAAGAAACTCTTAGTAATGAATTATAAGATAAAATTAATGATTTTAAATCAACTGGACTCGAAATCTGTTATTATCAAGATAAATAAAAATTATCTGTAGATAAATGGGATAGTATTATAATCTAAGTTGAGAGTCTTTCTCATTGAATTTTCAACCTATCTAATTGTAGCTATTTTAGATGAAACTAATACAATTATTCATCAAATAATAGTGGTATAAATGCACAGGAATCTGAGAATGCAATGCATAATATATTAAGATCAACTCAACATGTGCTGGCAATAGACATGTTTACAAATAAATTAACTCTATGTTTTCTTAAAGCTTATCATAATGAAAATATTTGAGTGATTGATAATAAATTTTAGCCTTTTGTAGATAAAACTATTGAGTATCTTTATGATCTAAATAGTGGAAGTAAAGCTAAGCAAATAGGATATGAATTATTAAAACAAGATAAGCGTGTGGCATTTATTTTAACAAATTGCAATATAGCTTGAGCATTAGTAAAAAAGGTTCCCAACTTGTAAAGGCCTGATAATTCTTTTATTAGAGTATATGCTTATTATAGAGAGATGGATGAAAAACAATAAAAAAAAAACTTTTCAGATATAAGTACCACTTTGGGTAAACTTGATTCATAGCTTTTACGAACATAGTAGAAGCATATATATCTTTTGAAAAACTAATTACTTTGAAACAGTTATAGGCATTATCAATATTGTGACTCCAGTTAATATTTAAACCTTTATTCAAATGATGTTATTATTATTATTATTATTATTATCATTATATGTTTCGATTATGTGATTGTAAAAAGCATATAATATTCCTCTATTATCAAGAAAGTTTCAGTAAGCCTTTTTGTCTACCAAATTACAAAAATATTTATTTTGAACTTAAAAGCACTTGTCCTAATGATTACTTTTAGCAATTATGGGTTATCATGAATGGGATAATATATTATTTTATATAAACTTTATCAATTGCCTGCTGTAATTTCATACCTTGAAGTCAAGTATCATAAATGTCTTTCTGTGAGATATTTCATTGAGACATCATGTAATCTTATTGCCAGTATGGGTATTTCTCTCCAACTTATAAAAATGGATACTTATGGGGAATTGCAAAAGAGTCCGCAATGAGGTTAGGGTTGAAGCATTAGTTATTAAGGAATCAGGCTTTAATATGATTGCCACTTTCCAAAATTTTTTTCCTGAAGAAGCTGAAATTCTTAAGTATAATCAAGAATGCTCTATCTTAGATACTATGGCACTTAAATGATTCTATATGCAAAGTCTTTATGGTGGTAAAGATATAAACATTGAAAAGAAATTTCTGATATAAAATTTCGATGTATTTGTAAAAAAAGTGGAAAATATTGTAATGTAAATTGTCATAGGTGTGGAGGATTGCAATAATCCACCAATGTAAAAGTTCATTACATTTTAAATCAAGAAAATATTTTATAATATAAATATATTATTTTAAAATTTAGTTTAATTTATTTGAAACAAAGCTATATAATAAAAGTTAAACATTAATAAAAATAAGCAAAACTTTTATGAACCACTTAGAATATTATCCGAAATGAGCATTTGGGATATTATTCGAAGTGAGCATTTGGGATAATTTCCGAAGTGATCATTTGGGATAAATGCGCATTCGGCATGTCCTAAACGATCTTCGCATTTGGGATATCTTAAATGCGCATTCCAATTTGGGATATCCGAAATGGCATTTCGGACATTAACGCATTTGGGATCAACATGGCTATTACCTTATAATTTATAATCATTTTAAAACCATATCTTTTTTAGCACTCTTAAAATTGTTACACGAAATGGTCAAAGCACGAATTAACAATAAGATTTACTTACCATCAGTGATACGTTAATGGTGCATTAAGGTATTACATAAAAGCGTTTATATTAATTATTAAGGAATTAAAGGGGCTTAAAATGTTCATTTTAATTGGTGGTGTATTAGATACGCATCTTACGTTACCTGTTTACATTTATGAAAAGCAGACGAAAACATTCACTCTCTGAAAGAATTTGAAAAATATTTTGGATAAATAATCATTTTTTTTAAATTAAATAATTCCATAAATGTATGTATGAGCTATGAAGATAATTTTTGTGTTACATTAAAGAAACAATTGTGCATAGCCTATTTAAGCATGCATAAGTAAATCATTGCATAATTTCATAACAAAACAATTCATAAGTATTTATAACATAACGTATTTGGTTATATAAGATTATCACGTAAAGATTTCAAAAAAAAAAAAAATAGCAAGAGCGTTATTATTATTGTATTTTATTTGCTTTTATAATATTATGAATCATTATTCCAAAATAGTTAGCAACGTTGATCATGAAATCATGTTAAATAGTCGTCGCTGAGTGCTTTTTTTTGCTAATTGAAATTTGAAAGTCAACAAAAAACAAACGAAAAACAAACGAAATTACATTATGGCTACAATTAGAACAAGTTTTGCTTGGAAAATAATCCACAAGGCACTTATGTCAATGAATCACGATGATATATTAACGGATAATGTTAAAGGCTCTATAGAAAGACAACATGAATTTACAATACAAAAAATTCTTGCTAATGAATCCCTTACGAAAAACGAAAAATCATATGCGGTGAAAGAATTAAATAAAATTTTTGACTGCCTTAGACTTACTCGAAGTAATGGAACGAAAAGAATTTGTGAAAATTGCAAAGAAGAATATTTAGCTACATCATACTGTGAGCATTGCGTTCGAAATTATTTAAAAGCAGAATTTTCAAGCTGGACATCTGGAAATAATGACATTGATAATCTAATACAAAAATGTCAAATGGAAGTAATCTCTCCATTTAAAATAGTAGAATGGATTCCATATGACGATTTACAAAATGTTAAATATTTTACTAAAGGTGGATGCTCTGAAATTTATACAGCAGACTGGAATAACGGCGCATATGAAGAATGGGATTCCAAAGAAAAAAAATTGAAAAGATTTGGATTGCAACAAGTAGTACTTAAAAGATTAGAAAACGTCGAAAGTGCTAATAGAAGTTGGTTTGAAGAGGTATTTATTCATGTTAATTTTACAATGATTTTTTAAAAAGAAAATTAAATATATTTTTTATTTTTATAGAGTAAATTTCATATGACTATGAGTAGTAAACATATATTGATATTAACGTGTTTTGGTTTAACAAAAAATCCAACAGATGGATGTTATATGCTTGTAACATTTCAAATGCAGTCGAATTTAAGAAAATATTTAAAATTACATCATAATGAACTTAAATGGAATGAAAGGATTAAAATTATTCATAGCATAACATATGCACTTTTGAATATTTATCGAGAAAATATAATTCATAGAGATTTACATTCTGGAAATATATTATACCATCAAATTGATCAAACATTTCGAATTAGCGATCTTGGATTTTGTGGACCAGTTGACAAACCATTAGATAGTATATACGGAAACCTTCCTTATGTAGCACCTGAAGTCATTGCTGGAAACGGAACTACTTTTGCATCTGATATTTATAGTTTTGGTATGCTTATGTGGGAAGTTTCATCTGGACAACCTCCTTTTATTAATTATGCACATGATTTTGATCTTGCAATGAGAATAATCAATGGAATGAGACCCAAAATAGTACCGGGGACTCCTTTAGAGTATCAAGAATTAATGAAACAATGTTGGGATGCCGATCCAAAAAAAAGACCCAATGCTGATATTCTTATTAAAAAACTCATACATTTACAAAATCCATACCAAAATACAATTTCAGAAACTAATACAAATAATACGTTGGAAATAAATGAAACCAATATTAACGACACAAGTAATAGCAGAATTCACCAATTCGGGAAATTGCCTGAACCAAGAAATGCAACTGAAGGTACGGTGTTTAGTAATAATGATTTAGATCGATACGAGTATATCTTTTAATATTAATAATGTTATTTAAATCAAATTAGAACAACAAGAAGGTACTGCACATTATATTGCTTTGAATATTGGTATATACTAAAGGCATCAACTAATAATTTTTAATAATTGAATTTAAGAATTCCATAACGAAGATTCTTATAACTTTAGCATTGATGATAGTAAGTGCAGTGCATTTGAATATTTAAATGTAGAATAATATTTGATTAATTAATCCTCTTTTTTTTCAGTTGATAATTCGAGTAATAAGAGTAATAATACATCAAGATCATACAATATTATCTTCAGTAAGTACCGGGAATTAGACCTTAAAGCTGTATTTATAAATAACAAATTAATCACAATTAATAATTTAGGTATTATAAAAAAAATATCTAAAATATTTACAAAGTCAAAGACAAATTCAAGTAGTAATGGTAAGTAAACCGTAAATTGTAATGAATTAATTATATAAATAAATTAATATATATTACATTTGGAATCTGGTTTATAGATAAACAGAGTGAAAGTCCAACAAAATTATCAGACCCAAATGAAGCAGATGATTATAAAAGCAAAACTATACAACAAACAAAAAAGCATACAAGTATCATTGAAGGTATAATTAAAATATTTTTATTTAGCGATGAATTTTATAAATAATTTCTAATTCTATTTTACAATTAATAATTTAGATATTAGTAAAAAATTAACCAAAACATTTAGCCGAATAAAAATAAATTCAAGTAATAATTATTGTAAGTATAACCATAAATAATAAGTTTGCAGCAATTTTATTACCTTGTGAAGGAGACTATTGAGAAAGTGTTTTAAATTTTTTTTCTATAGGTATTCAAAACGAAGATAATGAAGGAAAAACCGGTATTGTACCAAAAATTTTTAATTTATAGCAAATTATAAAATTATAAGAAAGTAATTCTAATTTTTTCTTCTTTATTGTTAAAATTTAAGATGAAATATCATATAATAATCCAAATTTCCATTCAGAAGAATACGAATTTGAAATCCCTGATGGTATGATTAATTTGTTGAAATCTTTGTTTAATACTAATCTTTTGTTAATATATTTTTATTTTTAATTTAGAGATTAATTGAATTTAATGTTAGAACCCTAACATACACTTTTTTAACGCAAATTTCTCTTTCTAGACGGATTGCAATAAGGAAAAGTTAACCTTTTTCAGATAAACAGCCAGATTTTACTTCGACTGAAATTATGTTTACGTGACATGTTTTCGTTAAATCAATTTTATGATTACAATATCCTCACCAAACTCTTCCAAAAATTTGTAATTCGTTACATAAAATTATTTGTAACAAAATTATTCAAAATAAAAATTCGTAATGACCAAATTAATTTTAAGACTTTTCGAACAATACACTATAAAAGAATAGAATTCTTATTATATATATTATTAATTTTTTAAATCTCTGGAAATAATATTTTCTGCTATCCAAAGCAAAGTTTAGTCAAAATTATTGATCCGCAGTTGGAATATAATAAAGAAATGATAGAAGAATGTTATTACCTTATGTTAATAACGATTTTACACGTGACTAATTCACAATGACATAACGCAAACTGTTTTAAATATTAAATTAAAGCTATCTTTTTTTTCAAATTAATTATTACTACAAAGGTCAAATATCTCATGTAAACCGTTGCAATATATCAACACTAACTATAACTAAGTAATTTATGCTTTTAGTATTATTTTTTTAGGTAAATTCAAGCAAGGCTAATTATAATGGAACTTAATAAAAAAAAAGATTGATTTTAATATTGTACTATAATTAACTTTGAAATTCAATATTGAACGCAAATAAGCTACTGATGATTAGCTATTGATGCTAAATATTGTATAATATAAAAAAATATTGATCATACAAACCTCAGCATGATCCTACCTGGTAGAATATTCATCAAATCTAAATTCGTTTCTCGGCATTAATATGATCCATATACTCGGGTTGTTCTGAGCTAAATTATAATCGGATCGTAACAAGTCATTAGCACACTAAAGCTTTTTTGAAACCCGACCAGACCCGAACTCTTCAGAGCACTATCTGGTACATACAATTTACTTAATTGAAAATAAAAAAATTAAAGTAAAAAAATCAGTTGTTAGATTAAACGAAAAACCTAAAGATAAAGAAAGGTATTAGTATTATTTGCTAATTTCATACACCCAACCACACCTCATCACCACTTTACTTATTGGCAGTTTTGTCCAAGAAGAACCATTCAAGAGCATCCAAAACACTTAAAAGACTCACATATCGGTTGTTTCATCCAATAACAATCTATCCTAAAAAATGAAACGAATACATAAGTAATAATAAAGAACTCAAAGACCCGAAGAACAATTTCCTAAACTAATAAAGCTAAACAAAAAAAATATATATTATATATGAATAAAATAAAAAATAAAATTTTGAATAAAAAAAAATAAAATGCGAGAATTGTTTAAAAAAAATTGACGAGTAATAATCGATCGAAAAAATAAAATAAATGAATGAATGAATAATAAATCATCTAATCGAAAAAAAATAAAAAACGAAAAATTAATAACATTAATACACAAATCGAAAAGATCGTTAATCAGATTATCGAAATTACGATATCGAATTCAATTTCGATATTCGTGATAACCTAACTACGAAGCAAAGCATTCCTTAATAGTCATAGAATTTTGTGGTCCTAAGGTGTTTGAGGTGTTTACGTTCTCGATCATTGAGCATCTTATAATTCCTTGACAGTACCTCATTATCGTTATAAAAGTTTTATATACAAAGGAATTTAATTACCTCTCCTTTATAATACAAAAGAGATGCTACTACACATGTTTCTCATGATAATAATGAAACAGGTATATATCAAATTAATAATTTTGAATTTTGAAAGATAAAAAGGTGCATTATCCAGAACGGTCTCTCATTCCCGATATACTATTTAATTGATGATTGAAAGGTTTTTAGTTTGAAAGTTTAATTTGAAATTTCACGACTTTAAATATATGCTTGGATAACCAAATGTTGCTGACCGTAGTGTCTTTATGCTTTCACGGATTGAATTAGTTCAAAAAAAGTATAAGGAAGAAAAGATGGAAACTGATGGAAAAGATAAAAACAAGTTAATAATATATTTTGACCTACAAAATCATATTTGGCATATAAAGTAAGATTGTTCCCATATTATCCATTAATTTTCTCTCGAGTTTCGATTATTCCGGTTTCGATCGATTTTAATTGCGAATAGTCACCAAAAAATATATTGTTAAAAAAAGTTATTTACTAAATAAAATCTTTTTGCCAAGAAAATTTTAATTCATCAAAAAAATTTACATTTTCCCAACTTACATTTAATTCATTAAAATAAGGCCGAAATAAAGATATTTTAATTATCGCATCGCACAAAACTATAAAAAAAATAAAAAATTTTGATTATTGACAACAGGTTCGTCTGCATGGTAAATTTTTTTATTTTGCCGCCACTATATTATTTCAAAATAGAAAAAGATAAGTTTTAGTTGAAGAGGTTTATAATGAAACTTTTAAAAATAATGACCACCTTCAACTAATAATTTGAGATTTAGAGAAAAAATATTGATTATTACATTAATCTTATCTCCTCTAACACTTCTCAACGTAAAAGAATGACTAACCGCCAGAATCTTTGCAAATCAATGATATGCTTTACGTCACAGAAGTATCAAGAGGGACATATGAGGAACATAACTATATAATATAAAAGAGTATAAAATATTTATCAAATTTAATCGTCTCATCTCCATCCTCCAATATTTCACAACCAACCAGCAGAATTTCAATCGAAAAAATTTTGTTTAATGTCACATAAAGGAGTGAGAGGTAGAATGTCACTGCATGATAGAAAAGAGGAAAAATCGTGTAAAAAAGATAAAAAAAGGAACATAAAATTCAATAAATCAAAGGCTCTGGATAAATGTTACAAGCTTCCTAATTTCATTTATAAATATTAAGTCAATACAGTATTTAGCCATAAAAAGGAAGAACATAAAAACCATCACTGCGTACAAATTTAAAAAAAAAAATAATAAGGAAAAGAGTAAAAAGAAAAAAACACACAAATTTATATTATATTTTCTTGGAGATTTACTTCTTATTAGTTAAACAGTTGAAAAGGATTGATGAATCTATATTTAACGAAAGATTAATTACCTTTTTTTTACGTTTACCATATATTGTACCTCTTTTTAAAATGAGTATTTACCCTTTTTAACTTTATTTATATCACGGATTTCATTCATGTCATGTAATTACAAAGATATGTAAGTGAAAATAAACGCATGTGTTAACATGACATGTGATTTTTTTTGATACTTTATCCCGTCTCCTTGATATATATTTAATATAAGTAAAAATCTTCCCCCACATGACCGGTAACATTTAATGGGGGGTGAAACAAATTGTGATGAGAGCGTAACACAGGATGACAAATTGTGCTCTGATTAGCTGGTATATTTAACTATGTTATTTGTCACGTATTGAGGGGCGACAAATAAACATCAACGACTAAAAAAATTTCAAGTCCCCCAGATACAATAAAAATTGAAACACTACCGGTGTTACACCAGTGATCAATCACCTAAGCTCTAATCCTAACCCTAACTAATCTCAATTATATCAGCCAATCAGAGCCTAGGAAATAAATTAGTATATCCGATTATCATATATCAAATAGTTTGTGATACATAATAATAATTAAAATGCTTTACAAAGCAAAATAATGTTTTTGTCTTACTATCTATATTAATACAATTATGCTAACAAAAAATAAACTCCATATTCTGGATAGAAAAAATAGTCATTTGTTGTATCAATACAAGATATACAGTGTCAGAAAATAAATGTACATTAGCTATTAGCCTAAAGCCTACAAAAAGATGTAGCAAGGTCCTCATAATTCTACGTGAGAAATTATCATTCATTTGTAAGTTCTGAAGCTGTATTCTTATAATAGTTAAATCATATATATTTCATAATATTTTATTTGTGTAAGTTATCTGAATCTTACAATTTTTCAAAAGTGAAATATTGGTTTCTTTAAATGAATTTGCAATATGTAAGCCTTTAGAAATACAACAGAAAAAGTTTATTGCATAGTATAAAAAGCTACATTAGTTATATAAGATCAAATCATATGACCAAAAAATGATATAATATTAATTCACTATTTTGATTTTATTGTAATTTTTTATCTTATTGTTATTATTGTTTTTTTTGAAATATTTTGATAAATTATAGACAAGAATATTCACTTATTATAATAAAATGCTAGTATATAAAATTTTCTATTTCGATTAAAGGTAATTTTAAGATAGAATATTTACTTATTTATTTATTTTACTTTATTTTTTTATAAATATATCTTATATATGTTAATTAAAGATAAACTTTTAATGTGAATTTTTAATTATTCCTTTATTTTCTTATTTTTTTTTTTTAAAAAAATCACATTTAATAATATAAAATTATAAAATTATAAAATTAATGAAATTTAAATAAATTTAAATTAGTTATTATTAGTACTAATTTGCTTGATTAATTTTAGGCTGATTTAGATCAATTGATAATCAAATTTAAATAGTTTTTAGGCAAATTTTAGATAACTGATTAATGACTTATTGGTATTTTTGATTAACTTATACTGTATTAATCAGTATTAATGTTGCTGGACGAAATCAAGAATTTAGACAGATGTCTAAATGGTAAAAGTAAAACTTGGTTAAATTATATTAAAATTTTATTAAAAAATCTGCAAAATTTGAAAAATGGTAAAACTATATCAAAGCTTATAAAAATGGCGAAATTATATCAAACACTTAGTAAAAATTTAGTGAAACTAAAGGTTTTACTATTTTGCCAAATCCAAAATGAGTTTAGATAAGCAACCTTAATCAGTATTAATATAAAACAACTATAAATCAATCATCAATCATTCATCAATCGTCTGTTTGATTTTTAGCTGATTTATATCCATTTCAACTAGTGTTAAAAAGAATGAATATTTGTTTAAATAGTTTGTAAATTTTCATCTGTAAAGTTTTTATTAATATTAGGCAAGTTTTATATTTTTTTCTGAAATATTATGTTTTTAATTTTTAGTAATAGGGAAAGACTAGTTGACCACCATTCTCAAAAAACAGCATGTCCTTATGAAACAGTTTTTTTAAATATATATTGTAACTAAATTTTTTAAAATATAATGACATTTTACATCTAGTTTATGATTATAAACTTTAAGAACATTATTATTTAAAATTTATTCCTTTTTAACACTTTTAAATCTATTTATAGAAGGATTAATTCACTATCATTTTTCTTAATTAAACATCATTTTGACTCTTTGTAAAAAAAGTGATTAAGAGTATTATAATTCTAAATAATTATTTATAAATTCCAAAAAAAACTTCACTACAAAGTAATCAAACAGTATGATGAATTTTGTCTTTCAAAATCAATGATTAATTTAAATACTATTATACAAACTATTGACTGATGATTATATTTTTTTTTTTGTATATATTTATATTTTAAATGCTAGAAGTTGTAATGACTTTTACTATTTCACTACATTGCGAACGAGTAATAGATTTACTTTTAATTATAAATTTCTAATTGTAGTGGGAAATGCGGTTTAATAATATATTACTTTAAGTTCAAAACTTGAGAAAAAAAAATAATTAAAAATTTATCTTAAAATGATTCTTTTAAAATTACCAGTTCTTCTTTATTCTAATTGTCCACAACTATATTATCTTTTTTTGATATATTGTCTCATTTTCAATTATTTTTATATTTCCAATTCGATGTTTATTGCTCTATTTCCAAATTCGCCCATTATTGCTTTGAACAAAATTCTAACTTTTTTCCATATTAATTTTATTTCTTTCAATAATGCAACATCAAAATTTCTTCGACAACAAATTAACACAGAACTTATGTTATGTGGAACTTTTTGACGATTTGTGATGATTCACAATTCCAATTTAACTAAATTTGCAAATTTAAAGGGTTTTAACAGAAATTTGGATATAATTCTAAATTTAAAGCAAATAGTTGTATTAAAAAAATATACCGAAGTGAATTAATTCAATACAAATTAATTATATATTAGAAAAATAAAATAATTTTTGTGAAAATCTCGTCTGGATTAGTAATTAATTTGACGGTCAATTTCTGATTGGCTATTTACATATTACTCTGCTATTATTTCGTCTCACAAGCACACATTACCTAATGGGGATCACCTCCTTCAATATAAATTATTTCAGGAGAAAGGAGACTCAGAAGTCAACTAACTATTATTGTTAATCTTTTTGAATCTGAGAAAAAAGTGTCGCATATGCATACATGCATTTTTGGCCTTATGCTTTTACTGTTTGTAGAACTTCACGTTGCCTTTGTTTATCAGAAATAGACATTTAAAATTATTTCTGAAAAAAAATCCTTTTTAAAAAGAAAAAAGGGGTAAAACATATAGTATCGTAGTGCCAGATGGTCACAGTTAACGTTCAAATTGGATTTGTTGTAGCCCAAATGCGTTAATGTTTGAAATGATTTCGGATCGCATTTGTCCCAAACTCATAGGAAATTATCATTATATGGGTGGTGTGCTATTAAAATTGAGGTATGAATCGAATAATATGTTTAATATGTCTTGTATCTCAATTTTAATAGCATACCACCCATATCATATCTCCAAAACAAAGTTGAATTACTAATTAGGATGCACTATAAATCATTCGAAATGAGCATAAAATAGTCATATTGAGCATCCGACATGATAATTTTGGATAACTGAAGTGGTTATTCGAGACAATTCAAAGTGTGAAGTGGTGGTAATATCCTAAGTGGTCATTTTGGATATCTGAATTGAGCATTTAGGATATTCATGATCTGCACATTTGGGAGTCAACTGATTTGGTATATCCGAAATGCTCATTTCGCATTTGGATTCATAAATTACATGTCACGTGACTTGAATTTCAAATTTTTTTAAATCTCTGTAGGTCAAAATTTTATTATAAATAGAGCTTGAGTCGTATGATGAAATATTAATTTACTTATAAAAAAGTAATATTTATTAATTATGATATTTGTACGTAAATTACAAAATTTAGGATTATTGATAATTTTATTATCTGTTATCAATACTTCCTCCCATCCATATCCTGCACAAGAAGATTCATATCACGTACATAGAGTAGCGTTTAATCCACGAGGATATCGAACTATAAATGAAATATGTATTCATTGGTACGATTATACTCAAAATGAGAAATAGACTGATTGCAACATAGCAACTCGAAGCCCAACATCATATACATCTCCGGATTGGTCAATAGGATATAAACTCTCTATTCATACAGATGCTGGTACATTCCATGAAGGACCATTTTTATGGTGGGATGGCTGGGTAAATGGAATATATTGTAACGATATACATCTTCATTTAAAAAACACTGGTTTTCAACTTAGACTTTCTTATAACTTGGATATATCTTACGATAAATGTTTCTGGGACAAATAAATCATATATTGTTATGTAGACATCAGGACATCTTTTCATTTAAAAAATCTAATCATCATTCGCCGTGATGTCTTTCAGAAGATCTTTCAGATATCTTTGAATTATCGTGTAAATTTTCCCTTCTCATTTGTTCTATATAAAATATTTTTTTATTTTTAATTCTTAAAATATAACAAAGTAAGCTATAAATTTATTAAATATAATTAGTTAGAATTACAAATCTACTAAAGAACGATCTATGTCTTTACTAAACTATTTTTTATTATTATAAACAAATGACAAACAAATTGCGTTTTATATTATTTTGACAGTGTCGAAACTTATTTATATATTGTTATTTAAAAACTATTGTGATTCTAATTTATGTATGATATAATTAATAAAGTTTATTTATAATATTCAATTTTTATGCAATCAATCAATTTGTTGTATATTAAAAATAAATATGTTTTAATTACATTTTATTTTTTTTTGGTACGAATAAGTTCTATTCTATTATATCAAGCTTATTTTCATATCGAATATCTCTTTCATACAAAGTTTTGCAAAATAATGAAATTCAAAAATTTCATTCATATATAATTTTTGAATAATCATTGATATTGAAATGAAAATTTTGAGTAAAAAAAAAGCATAATATATCAAAATTAACTATTCCTTCGAAACGTCAATTCCAAAACCAAATCTAAATTATTTAACAAACCATGAATGAATTGTACAAATATTAATATTAATATTTATCAATATTGAAAAATTAAATAATAATAAATCAAACAACAATATATAATTCTTGATGTATCGATCGCAAGACGTTAATGTTTCTAGAACGCTATCATTATTCAAAATATATTAGTAAAGCCTTGTTCTTATTTATATTACAATAACTTAAACGACCAATCATTAATCATCTGAATAAATCTCCAATAGCAAATAAACCATATAGTATCCCTTTTTTCAATTCAACTCAATCAATAACCAACGTATGAATTAGAAAATTATTGAACATATGAGAAGGCAATAAAAACAAAAAATCAAACCGCTTTTCCTGCTTCAATTCCAATATTCAATTTAATAATCAAAATCATACATTCAATTATAAATTAATTAGTAAATGTTTGATGATAAAAGAAAACAAACAAATAATGAAAAATAAAACCTAATCCTTCCAACTTGAATTCCATAATATATCCAGTCTCATTTCTTTTTAATAATTTACATATACCCTCTTAAATTTTTCAAAATTGACTAAATTTTACTTCATAAAATGTATCTGAATCATCATCATCGTACAAATAATTTTAAACAGCATTTTCATCTTCAAGTTCCGTTAAATAAAATAAATCCAACCATAAATCAACTTAATCATATCCTCTATAATATATATTGGTATCAATTGCAAATTGCATTCCACCATTTAATTACCGAGTTATAATCATTTTAAATTATATTAGTAAATGATTGATTAAAACAGTAAATAATTAAAATGAAAAATCAAACCATTTTTCAATTCCAACATTTATATAAAAAATCATAATCCCAATATATACTTTCCAACCAAATATAAACTAACTCCAATATTGAATCTCACTCAATCAATGTAATCAACGCAACCACTTATATATTCTAATATACAATGTAAAAATCATAATCCCACATAAAAATTATTAACTACTATCCATCAAATTATAAATCAATCAATTCCAATATTATATTCTACTCTATCAATATAATAGACGCACCATTTTTCATTTAAAGGATATATTAGTAAATGCTCAAAAATAACAAAAAACATTAATAAAGAAAAATCAAACCGCTTTTCCAGCTTTATATACAATGTAAAAATTCATAATCCACATAAAATTATTACATATTATACATCCAATTATAAATCAACTCCAATACCATATTCCACTTCATCCACTCCATCAATGTATTGATGCGTTATTTTTCATTCAAATATATATTAGTAAATACTCAATAATAACAAAAGAAATTATTAATAATGAAAAATCAAACCGTAATCCCTCTTCCTAATTGAAGATCCAATATTTACGTTGATTTAAAAAATTGAATCACATTTCCACTTAACAATTTACATACATCCTAATGATAATTTTTTCAACAATATTACTTCATCTATACGCCATTATCATCATCCTATCTACACAATTTCACTTAATCATTACTCATATCCATCCAATGATTAATTAACTTCAATAGCAAATTCTGCTCCATCATGTAATAATCGCGTTATAATAAAAGAAATCAATTACAAAAAAATCAAACCGCGTTTTCTGCTATATAATTCCAGTGTAAAAATTAATATCCATTATAAAATTATTACATAAAGTCCATCCAATTATAGTATAACTCTAATTCTATATTCCACTTCACTAATGTAATTGAAGCGTTAGTAAATGATCAATAAGAATAAAGAAATCATTAATAAAGAAAAATCAAACCGCTTTTCTTGCTTCATATATATTTAATATTCAATGTAATAAATTATAATCTCACATAAAAACTATACCATATTATCCATCCGATTATAAATCAACTCCAATAATGTATTCTAATCCATCAATTTAATTAACGCGGCAATTTATTCAAGTATATATTAGTAATTGCTTAATAATGATGTAACAAAACATTAACAATGAAAAATCAAACCGCTTTTACTGCTTCATAAATATTCCAATATACTATGTAAATAAATTCATAACCCCACATAAAATTATTACATATTATCCATCCAATTATAAATACACTCCAATATTATATTCTACTATATCAATATAATCGACGCGCTATTATCGTTCATAAAGTTATTAAATAATTCTAATATTATATTCCACTCCACCAATGTAATCGACGCGTCAATTCATTCAATTATATATTAGTAAATGATAAATAATAATAAAAGGAAATATTAACAAAGAAAATCAAACTTCGTTTCTTGATTTATCTATATTCCAATATTCAATAAAAATAAAATCCAACATAAATTTTAATATATCCACTCCATCAACCATCAATGTTATTGACGAATTAATAACGAAAAATGAAACCGTGACCCTCCTCCTGATTCAAAATCCAATATTTAACGTAACCTTCAAATTATAAATGGTTCAACAATATCTCAAATATTACACCATCATAGTTCGCCATCATCCAAGGATATATTGAGTCGCATTTTTTTCAACTTTATAACTAAAATAAATCTAACCATATTCCACTTAATCATTAATCATATCCATCAAATGACTAATTTTATAGCAAATTCCGCTCCTTCGACGCGTCATACATATTCAAGTATATGTTAGTAAATGCTTGATAATAAAAAAAATATATAAAGAAAATTCAAACTGCGTTTTCTGCGTCAAAGTCAAATATTCAATGTCAAAACTCATAATCATAAAATTATCATTTATTTTCCATCCAATTATAAATAATCTCCATAGTATAAACCAATCCATCAATGTAATCAAAGAGACATTATTATTCAAGTAAATATCATAAATAAAATATTCAACTCAAAATCAACGCGAACTGAATAATCCATATACTAGTAGAAATTTTATGCTCCATCTCTTTTTTGACGCATTTATTAATTTAGTAAAAGCCATCTTCATAAAAAGAAAATAATATAAATACGTGGCCTTGCTTCATATTCCAATATCAATTCTAAATCAATAGTAAGGAATAAGGTTAAAAAAAGAAAAAATTGTTCTTCACAAGAAAAAGTATTTATTTAAGTATATACCTGAATTAATGCTTAAAACAAATGGTTAAGTGATAATACTCCGCTCTACTCTTTATCTCAAAAGGGAAGAATGAATAAGAAAAAAAGAATCCAGATCAGCAAAATAACTGCCTATTTTATAAACAGTGAAAAGGAATTTGATTGGTGGACCAGTTTTGGTAATTTTTGGTGATATGAAATTAACAAATTGTGGGCAAAATATATTTCTAAATTCATTTTTCATCAGATTCTCTATTTTATAAAAAAATTTTGTTGATTTATTTGTCTGATAATCATGTACAAAAATTACCAATAGATTGGATAAAATTTCAATTTTCTTCTTCTATAATGACAATCAATATAGGTCAATATAGATTCAGATGTCAATTTTATTTTCAGTATAATAGACAACTTTATTGATATGATAATCTTACTGATCAATTTTATTAACTTTATTTCCTAATTTCCTAATAATATGGGTTGTGATTTAAGAAAATCAAGTTTTGAGAAATTTTTACTAAAATTAATATCTTATTACATTTTAATCTAAATGTAATGAAAATTAAAATGCAATTAAAATCTCAATTTTGATAAAAAATTCTCAGAACTTGATTTTCTTAGATCATAACCCATATGGGAACGTTTCCAGTAAAATCAAGTCATGAAGCATAGTAAATCATATGATCTATAATGTGATTTTACTGAAAATACTTCCATATGTTAATTTTATTTCCTTTAATATATTTAGTTTAATTTATTTTATTAATTATTCAACATATATAAATATTTTTGTATTTTTATCAAGTATCAATACTAATGAATAAATCTGTTAATTAATCTTTACTTAAGAAAGAAATAAGTTAATATCTTTATAATACTTTCTGGTAAAGAATTTACAATTTATTATCATATTAATAAAGAGTATAATTAACCAATTAAAAATTTATTCTTTGCAATCTTTTAACCTATTAATAAATTATTATTATTTATTGACTTTACATAATATTATATTAATTAGTTGCATTAGCTTAAGATGTAATCATTGAAATATAATCTCTAAAATATCCAGAAGTTATTTATACTTAAATTGAGAATAATCTTTGATGATATTATGAATCTTTACCTGTAAATTCTTGAGCTTAGTCTTAGATTTATTTATTTTTAGTGATTTTAATTTGAGTTACAAAATCAAACGTAACAACATCATTAATTATTCAATTTATAAATAAAACTTTTAACTTTATTTTATTTGAAATTCTTATTTTAAAAATAGTCTAGGATAAATCAATCAAAAATAATTTTAAATGGGTTATACTTTTTTATTTTTTCTTTAGGAATATGTCAAACTAATTAAAAATGCTTTTTATTAGATTTTTAATCTTTTTCTTTAATTTTCTTTATTATTTAAAAATGCATTAAAGTAAATAAATTAAAGATAAATTTTGAATATTTTTTAAAGTTATATTTATTTTTTTATTTTTTTTTGAATAAAATAAATATTGAAATACCTTTTTTTAAAAAAATTTATTTAATAATAATATAAATAAACTAAATTATAATTTAATAAATAAAAAATTAGTTATATTATCTTTAATTTTGGGTTATTTTATCAATTGATAACTAATTTTAAGCTAATGTAAGCTGATTTTATGTTGTTAACCCTACACTTAACTATTGAACTTAAGGTAACGATAACTTAATAACAGGAAGTAATATGTATATTAATCTAAGATTACTATAAAATAGACCCTATCACGATCAACCTTTAAGTTTATCACTTGGTTATTTTTATAACATGAGTTTACTTTGTAACTTTATAACTTTATAATAAAAGATAAACACTTTTGGATACGTTAAAGGGTCTTGTGTAAATTATTATGTAGAAACAGATTTCTTTTATTGTATATTAGTATACTTAGAGATCCTTAACTCTTAGATTCTAAGACTTAAACTCGCATTCTTGAGTTATTCTTTTACAAGAGCAACTTTCTATCCTATTTATAAAAAATTACAATTATAAGAAAAGCTATAACTAACACTAATTTATAAATAATAGTTAATATAAATAATAGAGATAAAATACATAATAATTATATAAAAAATAATAATAATAAATAAAATAATAAATATAAATAAATTGAAGAAGTTGACTATATTGAAAATATTGTAAATTTTAACTAATTTAATAATACTAATTAATGTAGATCTTTGTGATGCAGTAACTTTGATGAGGTCTGGTCTGGTATCAATGCTTATTTTAAAATTCAGTTATAATCAATATATATTTATAAATGAAATAATCATATTATATAATATATTAAAATTTTATGCTATCAAAAATGCTAAAACTTAATAAAACTAATTTTTTAATAAAAAAAGTTAGATGATAAGACTTATAACAATAATGGTAAAACTTGGTAAAAATAAAAGTCTGAAATTGATAAAACTTGTTGAAAATAATGAAAAATAGTTTTGACAAATATCATTATATTAGAATAAAAAAATCTTATATTTAATTCAAAAAATTAAGGATTCTCAAAATATTAATTAGATAAAAAAATATTTTAACAAGAAAATTAAATAATTGGTTATATGAAATAATTAAATATTTTATAATATAATATTACTTTTAATATAATTAAGAGGATAATCAATATAAATAGTTTATCTTATGATATAAATTTTATCAATATACAATAAATATATCTAAAATCATAACACATTATAAACAGAACAGACTATATGATAATTTAAGATAAATTATTAAATTATTCTAATTATTCAAATGAATTCAAAAGTTTAAATGATAAATATTTGTATTTTATTTTTTTATTATGTTTATTATTATTATAATAATAAAAAAAAAAAATAGATATAAAATTCTTTAAAATTATTTTTCTAATATTTAGAGATTTTTATAAATTTTTGCAGTTTATTAAAGAAAAATATAAAAAATTCAATGCTATATTTATTTTTATGAAATATTATTTCGTTTGTTATTAAATTTTTATCATAAAAATTTATATTTTAATAGAAAAGTTATCCAATTACAATTTGAGATTATAATTTAAACAACCATATTAGACATCTTAAAAAAAAATCTAACTTGATTTTATTTTGCAATAAATTCAACTTTAAGAAAAATGATGAAAAGGACTAGTAAGCAAATAATAAGAAAATTATTTTTCTTTTTGAAAAAATATAAACCTAAATAATAAAAAGTTAATCTGTAAATTTATAAAAAAATGAATGAAATTAGCAAATTTGTATTTCGATATTTAATTTACAAAAAAATAAAACTAAGATTTATCGACTCATAATTGTTTTCTACGCTTAGTTCCGATGGATATATTTGTCGTTACGGAGTTTCTCTCTCATCATCTTCGCTTCGATAATAGATTGTATCTATATATTCAAAAAGTTTATTTTCGCTTATTTAATAAATTTAGGAAAGAACCAGTTAAATTGAAGATATCAACACGATTTTTTTTTTTCAGAGCGATTGTCAATATCACAGAATGTCTGTATCTCCTAAAAGGTTTGTATAGTTTCCTCTTACTATATGATCCTGTTGGAAACTAAGGATGCAACATTGTTGGCATGTTCTTCCTGCAACAATGTAAAATAATGATCACATTAGCTTTCTATCAAAAATATTTTTTTGGTATTAAGGCATCAAGTACTTTAATATTTCCACCAAAGCTTCACGTTCGATAATCGATGTTACTTTTCGTTTTTTTGATGATGCAACACTTGTCCAAAATCAATGACTAACGGTGATTTCTTTTCATACTAATAAAATGGTGCGATATTAATAAAATACAAAAGAAAACAATACTTTTAAAGCTTACATGAAACTATAGTCAGGACAAAACCACCACGAGCCGTAGATCATCACTTCCTGATCATAGTCAGGAAGTGTGGGTGGTTTAACCCCATCCAAGAGACTATCATTCCTCAGACTCATCCACTGCCAAACAAAATATAAAAAAATACTTAGACCAGAATTAAAACAAGTGCATTTTCAAACTTCTTCACTTCGTGTATCTGCTTCTTATTAATTATGATTTGAAGTTTTCGAGTATATCGGACGTGCTCATCTTTTTTATTGAACCAGGAATCACTAAACCTTTGGCGGTATATCAAGAAACTAAGCAAGTTCCAGCTAGGGTTAAAAGAGAAATAGTCGGGATCATATACTTCGATTTCTTGCAGGAAAATATAAGAATTATTAATAGGAAAGTTAGAAATTTTCAAAGCATGGTGTGCCGGGAAGTGATACCTTCAGGTTCTAAATTTTCAGATTTAGTTGTAATAGTTGACATGGTTTCTCTTAGTTCTTGTTAACAATTAGAAAATACTAAGTATTAAAAAAATAAAAAAAAAGCAAAGCATTTTTAAAATGCAATTAGTTTAAATAATAAAGACACCTTACCTCAAAGTCTGTCCGATGTCATAAAAATAAATAAATGTTAAGAAAAGTATTAAGTAAGTTTTTTTTTATTTTAAAGAAAAAAAAACAAAATAAATAAAAAAATCTTACCTCCAATCTGATACAACCAAGGCTTCAGACCGTTCTACAAAGTTAAGTTTAGTATTATCTTTTTTTAATATAAAAATAAAAAAAAACTAAAGAAACTTATTTTCGATCCAGGATTACAAGTTTATAGATTTCGTATCTTTCTTCAAAGGTAATTAATATTAGTTTCTTTTTATTTAAAAAAAATTACTAATGAAATATTTATTTAGGACTCACCACCGATCTGATTCAACACAAGCTATAAAGGTAAATTTAGTAGTTGTTTTTTATAAAATAAAATAAAAAAAAGGTTTTAATTAGAGCTTACCGATTCCAAGGTTTTACAAAGGTAAGTTAATGTCAATTTCATAAATTTAAATTTTTATTTTAAAAAATAAACTTTAATAAAATTTTTAACTCAGATACGATTCCAATCCAAAGTTTCAAGAATCCAGACCGTTCTACAAAAGTAAGTTAGATAATATTAATTTTAATAATAAAAAACAAAAATCGGAAATATAGGATTTACCTCCAATCCAGATTTCAACATATAAAGTAGTCTACAAAAGTAAGTTAATGATATTCTTTTTTTTAAAAAAATGGTACTAACAAATTTCCCATTAATGCTTACCTTTATCCGTTACAATTAATCTTAAGAAGCCAGACCATTCTACAAAGGTAAAGTTTAGTGTTGGTTTTTTCATAAGAAATATAAATACTAAAATTATTCTAAACTTACATTACAATCAAAGGGATTCCAAGGTTCTATCGGTAATTTGTGTTTTTTTTTGGACCATCCTCCAAGGTAAGTTATTTGTTATTTTTATTTTAAAAAAAAATAATAAAAATTAATTAATACTAATAACAAATGCATATTCCCAGTTATTGACGTAAAAAAACGTTTCTAAAATGCAAGTAATAAAAGAGATACTAAAACTTGGCATGCTTAGTAAAAAAAAATAATACTTTATTTTGATAATATAAAAGCATATGGCTAAATTATACTTCAAATATGTTTAAATTATACTTCAAATATTTAAATGATTTAAATAAAACCTGAATAAAAAGAACCGTTATATTTAAAAATAAAAATAAAAACAAAAATTCAAATATAAATAAATATATTACCGGTTTGTTTTTTAATATATTCTTACTTAGAATGGATTATATTTAGATCCGCTCCGTAAACTTGTACAATGATTGATAATATATTTTTATTTTTTCCAGGAAAGCAATAAATAATGAAATATTAATTTCTTCATTTGTCTTTCTTTCTATAAGAAAAAAAAATTGATTTTATTAAAATGAATATCTGAACAATTCAAAAATTTAGTTAAAACAATTCATTAAACTTTCTAAAAACTTATCGCGTTTTTATTTTTCGAAACTTTTTGATTTATACTGAATTAATACATGATTATGTGTATTGTATATAATATTTTGATTTTTTAAAGGATGGATTTCTGTAAATAGTTGACGCTCTAATAAAGATGAATAGTTGGAAACTACTAATATTTTGTGGCCGAGATGTTTCTGTATTTTTTTGATTCGCGTTTGCATAATTCTCGAAAAGTACCCGATGCCCCGTAATTTTATAGCCTTTAGTTTCTTGCATATTTGCTTTTGAAGAAGATTGCAATCCTATAAACTATTGACATGCTGCCTCCTAAGATATAAATATTATATATTTATGAAAAGTTGAAACCTACCTATTTTGTAACATATTATTCAGATAAATCCGTGGAGAATGCAGTGAAAGTGTAATGAAAGTAGCAGTAAAATGTCGGTAAATATTAAAATATTGAATGATTTTTCATCAATATCTCTAAGAATTATATATTTGTTAAAAAATATGTAATCTTGCCATACTACAAGGTTCAAGGACGAAAGACGAAATGCAGCACGTCAATACTGCGTATCTGACGTATTTGTAAATTTTGACTAAATAAATTTATATATCTTTAATAATACCTAACATACAGTGTAGCATCAACTTTAATAACCATTTCTAGTAATGCTGCATGAGCATGATAACATTTCTTTATTAGTTAAACTTTTTTGTATGTCTGCATAATTCATAATATCGAAAAACAGTCATAACGCGTTATAAAAATACGCGTCGCGATTTTTGATTATAAATAAGCCTTGCCTTTTAGCCCTCTTCGAAGGTTAACCAACTCCGACCAAACCAACCGGTTGTCCCGCCATGTTCCTAAACAACTGCTATGAGAAGAAAAGTCACTGAGAAGTTAAAAAGACAACTAGTTTTCACTGCTTTAAAAAGAGACCAAGATCGACCACACCACCTTGCCTTGCTTTTCACCTAAAACTGATTTTTTTTTCGATCATTTTACTTCACTCTCGTTCGCTAACTCTTTCTTTTTATTGTATGTATCGAATGTAACGATAATATTTTCATGTTTTGTATATACAGTAAGTATCATTATTTTAGATCAAACCGCTAAGTTTATTTACTTTATTAGATGCCATCTTATATGCAATACTATAAGGAAGGCAAATATATGAATCTTGACCCATCACGTACATTATTCTTTACTCACTTGTCAATAAACAATTGTTTTATAATAAGAACGGCAAGTGGATCAAGTTTCACCTGCATATGGGTCAAGATTCATATTTTTGTATAAGGAACGGCCAAACGTCCGTCTTAATGGTACAAAAGCAAAACATGTACATGTTTATAATTGCACGTTTTCGCATAATAGTTATTATGATCTTCCTAAAAGGTAAATTATTTCAAGATATTATTTTAAAAAATGTTATTTTAAAGATATTAAATTAATGTGAATTTTTCTTTTGCAGTCCTCTTTTTATGACTTTTCACGTTAAAAATTATCAGGGAAATTATAAAAAATTTAACAATTACATATGTAATATAACATAATCTACTGAACGCTTTCTTTATCATGCTTATTTTTAATTAGTTTTGAATAACCTCCCTATAAATTTTTTCCTTATTTTGTTATACCAATAATCATAAAGATTTCTTCTTTCGATTCTTGACATTTGACAAACTGAATTTGTATTTGTATTTAATAACATATATAAAGGACGATTTGTTTCAGGTTCTTTGTAATAGTTTATCCATTGAATAGTTTCAATCATTCGTTGAGTCATATCTGAACTCTATCGGTGAATATGGTGAATATGACAAGGCTTCCTTTCTTCTTTTAATTATAATAAAATCCATACATCTTATCCATTCTCAAAATTTGTGCATCTATTTAGAGCAGAGATAAATCCTCATTTCATTCTCATTATTGTGATTTTTATTAGATCCTAATAATACCCAATAAGGTAGTTCATTATTGGACACATGATTAAACCTATCATAAAAATGTTCCTTCATTCGTCATCAAGTATGCTTGTACATCTTGCAAATTCAACAGTCTTTTGAATAAATTATAGTTAAATGCTTTTCGCTATATATAGAATAAAGATAATACAAATCTCTATAACCAAACGTTAGTTTGCTTATATATTGAAGCAATGAATTAATTACCTTGAATTTGATCTAATCTACAATAATTCTTAAAGCTTTTTAGCTATTTTCAACATTTAATGATAACGATTTACTTCTATCACAAATAACTGATAAATTGAAATGAAATACAGTTGCACTAGCGTACAATGGTGGTTTAACTTCAACATCTTAACTAAAACGATCAGAAATAGGAGAAAAAGGAAGGGAAGAAGGCTTTGTGGATTTAATAGTGTTAAGAACATGATTGTAAGCTTCGAAATATACTCCGGTATATTATATTATAAAAGTAAGAAATGCAGTAGGATAAATGGACAGATCAGTAAAACTGACACATAAATCAACGTAATGGCTAAAATCTTTTTATTTCTTGATAATACTACTCCAAGAAATTCCAATACTTCTCAGAACGACTATTAGATGTATCACACACTGGTGGTAGTAATTTTTTTTTTCGTTTTGCATCTGGATTTGGCAATAATTAAACTACCATTTAGTAAGCTTGAATTATCTCCCAATATGTTTTACTATCGTAATATGAACCGCGAACTGGAGGAGGAGTAAACCTTAAAGTGTTTTCAATTCCATTCCTCCTTCTACAAGTAATACCAACAAATTCAACATCATAATATATATACATGAAGGACTGCATATCATTTCTAATTTTCTTCATCATTTAGATAAGTTACTTTTATTAGAAGAATTTTCCAACCCTGCGATAATACATCTATTAGGCTTTATATACTTTCACGAATGGAGTCATCATGTCTTCTCTTAATAAATGAAATTGTGTATCAAGTAATCTAGCGGCATCATTAGGTAAAAAATGTGACGCATTTGGAAGTAAACAATGTAAAATGGATTTCGATCACACAAAGCTTCCTCTTTTGTAGGGATAATTGAAATATTTGAAATATCTGAAAGATCATTATCATGCCTTTTGTCATATTTTGAGAATTCACCAGGAAGACCATACAACACTGCCCATAGTTATTATAATTTTTTTCTACCGAAGAAATCTGTTGAGGTAGTAGATTGATGTAGTTTTGATAATTTTTCTGTTCTTCTTTTATTACAGTCTTAATTATAATTTATTTTTTAAAAAAAAAGAGGAGGAATCAAATATTATAATTTTGGTAGATTTATACATTTATACTAAATAAAATCACCCAATTACCATTTCTTTGAACAACAAAGAGGACTATCACTAGTAAAGTTAGCTCTATGCATATGTATTCATTTGTCATACTTGAAAAGAAAAATTAAATATCGTCCGTCGATTTCATGATGTAATTATTTTTGGGATATTTAGACCCAAAAAATGGAAGCAATTTTTTAATGTACTAATCCTTCGAGCATTGTCATGAATTTTTTCCCCCTTTTTTTAATCTAATAATGTATGTTTTTAATAGAAGAAGCACAGAATAAAAATAAAAATTGTTGAGGAAAGGTAAACAAATCGATTCTAACATCTGGCTGAGTAGTGGGAAGGAACTCTCACCGTACTGGCCTTTTATTTTACAAAATTAATAAAAGATGTGATTTCATGAACTTCTATTTGTTATTTGATATAAATCATAACAGTGAAAGTCCTACAACTGCGAAATACACTATAATAAATTCATTCTAAACATTTTGTCTTTACGTATATTTAAACAGATATCTTCTATGGCATTGGCAACAGTTGGTCTTTCATCAGGATTTTGGAACTTCAATCTATCCCGAAAATTTATAGCACTTTCAGAAAAAGCTTTTTTTATCATCAATAAGGTTTCCGATCAACCAGAAGTCGCCTGCATTTTTACATGAATCTTCATTTCTATGTTCCAGGGCTGCAATATATAATGTAGCTCTTTATAGAAATTATAACAAAAAATTGGTTAATACATGCCAAATAAGATAATCCAATTAATCTATTACACTTATGACTATTATCTCCAATTTCTTCAAAGGTAATCAACATCCAACAGTTATCCATAAGTCTTATGATATTATTCTATCGAATGCGATGGACAACATCATTTTCATGAAGAATTTTCACAGTCTTCAATATGGCAGTACGTAGTTCATTTTCGGATGTAGGAATTGTTGTACACCCATTTAGTGCTAATTCTAATAGCATTGAAGTTCTAGTAAATGAACATTTAATTTGTCCTCCTAACTTTGGAAAAATGTTATTGTAAATCTCTTGTAAAATGCATGGATTTTATTTTCACGTATTTTAAGATTTTTTGGGAAATATAGAGACAGTATAACCATTTGCTCAATTCATTACTTCAAATACTTCAAATAATTTTAATTTTGGAAATTCCAATATTTTGTCACGATCCCAAGTTTGAAGTATCTGGATAAAGTTTATTGTGTATTGAAATGCACATTCCGAAGTGAATGCTTGCCCTACCAGGACTTTCTTTAAAAGTTGAGTTCATAATATTGTCAACAAATTTACTTAATTCACGGGTATTAACTATACTTGAAACAACATCTTGAAGCACAAGCACACATCAGGAAAGAGATCGGCGAAGACATGTAGTGACAATTGATTGGCCCATCAAAAGGACACAAGAAGTCATTTAAAAAGTTAACCGTGTCATTACATGAGCATAAAGTAGTTAAGTTTTAAATGACCAATTAGCTGTTAACATAAACAATCTTAGACATAAAACATAATTATATACCTTATTTTTGAACTTTATCTTTTTGTTTGAAAGTTCGCGGCTAAAACAATGAAACAAAGAAGATAGATTACATAAGCAATAATAAATAAATAAATAGAAAATAAAATGAATATTAGAAGAGACTTACTAAGAAATGTGACAATAAACAAGAATTGTTTATAATGTTCTGCAATATAAGAAATCGAGTCCATAAATACACCTCCAAGATCATTTTCAATATCAATTTCCGTATCTAAATTGTCTTTAAGTACAGTATGTTATATTTTCATCTTTATCATCAATGGAAATAGCAACTTTATTTAACACTAGATCTTTATGACTAATATCCATCTTTTTGAAATTAATAACATTTGTAACATAAATTAATTCCTTATGATGTGTAACTTGCTTCTCAAGTTTGATATCAACTATAAATGACTGCTTACGAACATCATCACATAAAATGAAACAATTTACCATGATATCAGTATGTATTATATAGAGATATTTTTCAAAAAGAGTAAAAGAGTTTAGAGAGAAAGAGTTTTGAGACGAGTTAGAATTATATATAGACATAAAAAGGTAAGATGGAAAGTAGTAGGTATGATCGATCAATTGAGTATTGTATAGTATATAATTGATGTTGAGTATACTTAATTGCTAGGAAAGGATTTAACGTTAATGTTAGTTAGTTTAGGATTAGGTTAGGTCTATTTAGTATAACAAAAATATATTTAAAACCATTTCACGTGATATATTATACTCATTTGGTCGATCATACTCTACAACTTTCCGTATCAATCACATAAAAAGTATTATTTTTATATATGTTACGTTATATGTTATTATAGACTATTTGGAATTTGAATTGCTCAAACATTTTAATAAAGTAGTGATAATAACCTCTTTTCCTTTTTGTCCTTTTTGAGTATCTTAGTTATGTGTTATTAAAAAAACTGATTTACAGTGGTTTTGATATGTGTTACCAGTAGGTTAAATTTTTTTTTAATTTGATTCTGATTTCTAATTATTAATTCCATCATTAAATTTTGACGTGAAAGATAATTAACACTCTCACTTAATTCACAAAATATATACAAGTTATATTAAAATATACAAAAATTTTGACTTTATGGATTTTTACTTTAAATATTCCTTCACATTTCTGTTGAATCGCTTTGAAAGGCAAATTTTAAGTTATTCTTGACGTTTTATTTTACTTGATGAATGGTTGAAGAACTTTTTACTGTAACTATCTACTGTAAGTAAGAATAAACAAAATTGACTAATCATCTTCTGTAATTTTAGAGATTAAATTTTGTATTACATATTAAAAATATTTGATTTCAAATGCTTATTTTTTTTAATTAATGATAAATTTTTAAAGGCTTTCTATTAATTTAACCATAGATTATGAATAATACAAAAATAAGTAAATAATATTTAAAGTATCAATATTTAATTTTTAGAAAGAAATTGAACCTTGCTTATAAAACTTACTGTGATTAGACAATTCGAGTCATTAGCAATGATGGTTTAATTTTAATGCATTTATAAAAAATTATTCAAACTACAAAAGCATTTTTATTAGTATTTTTATAATAAATAATACATTCAAACTTTTAGAAGCAATTTTATTAGTATTTTTCTAATAAAAATCACCTTTAACAAATTGCATTAACTTTTATTAGATCTATTTTAATAAAAATCACACTTCTAATAATATCAATAAATTTAATAGGACGTAATATTATGTAAACTTACATTCCATAATATTACGAAAACTTACGAGACCATTGTAAGATTACGTAAATTGTATAATCATAATATTCCGTAACATTATGACGTAGTACTATGTAATATTATGGAATGTAAATTATGCAAAAGTTTACAGTGTAGTACTTCGTAACATTACGGTATAATATTATGTAGAACTTACGAAAATACAAGAATTTCGAAAGTTTACGATGTAGTACTTCGTAACATTATGATGTAATATTATGTAGAACTTACGAAAATACAAGAATTTCAAAGTTTACGGCATAGTATTTCATAACATTACGGTGTAATATTCTGTAAAATTTGCGATAATACAAGAATTTTGAAAGTTTACGGGTAGATTAACATAGTTTATGAAAATTTATGGTGTTAATTCATTTATAATATTTATTTAAAACTTTCAGTCATGTAATATTTCATAATTTATTGAGTTTAATATATTTAAATT